AAAATGCGTCGAACAAAAAGGTTTATATATTCTGAGAAAGTACGGTTTTGTGTCTGATTTCGTAACTTAATTAATATTTAGTACTAATTAATTAGCATATTTGTAGCCACTCCCTGAAACAATTAAGATTGACACTTAATTATTGAAAATCCAAGCATTAGAACGAAAGTTATTCAGGGTGATGCCTTTTTTATTTCACGCACTGTACGCTCCAACTTCTTATTAGACTTCTTTTCTAGGAAAAAAATAAAGCATTGCTGAAACCATAGTAACGGAGAGAGTAACCTTGAGACAATTATTCTATTTACGATGACTAAAGTGATATACATTCTTAAAATTTAAGTCTAACATAATATCAAATTTTAGTTTACATTATATTTAGAGCTTTAAATACTCATGCACTAATCCAGATGCAATGGCAGCACTGCAAAGAAAATCTGAAAGAACTTTTAGAATTTTTCTTAATCTTACATGATAAAACTCCATTATAGTTAGATGTCCTTGAACTAGTATAAGGAATTGGCATATTACATAGACATTGCACCAGATTGGGAGCTGCACATCATATTTAGGAACGGGAGCTTTCACCTAAAATATGAAGCGTATGTAAACATCTGTTATATTTTTATATTGAGCAAAGTTATAATTTTAATTATTTTTATAAATGCATTAAATTAAAGCAGTTTTGCTCAAATTTTAAACACTCAAGGATATTGATAGTTTAGGGTTTTAATCTACCATAAAATTTCCAAAACTCTATTTTCTTTTCTTTAAAATGCAGATTCTCTTTTTATAGTATGAATATGCACATTGAAAAAGACTTTCATATGAGTAATTATTGAAGGCTGAGAAGTATAAAACTTATTTTGCATCTACTCCTGCTCTCATATAGAGTATTAAGCGCTCATTAGTTTTAAATCGTGTTATACCTATTTGTAAATAAATAATTATAATGACACATTTGATTTAATTAAAAATTCAACCATAACTTTCAAGGCGGTCTTTTTTTGAAAAATATGACCTCATTAACACTAGATTGCCTAAGGAAGTCATTTTGACTGCTTTTAATTTCAATTAGAAAAACAATGATGTCTATAATGACACAATTTCTTAGAATTTTGTAACTTTTTGTACAACATATAATTTTTTTTATTGTTAAATATTTACTAATAACTTGTTAAATAACTGTAAATAATATAAAAAAATGTTAAAAATTAATTTTAAACAAATTTATTTACGCATTCACAATCCTGTCACTTTGACTGCTTTTAGGCAATATAGGTATATACTAATTTTCCGTCTTTCTAGTGTTAAAAAAATACTATTATTTTTACAAATAAACCCCAATGTTAAACACAAGTCTTTTCAATAATAAATAATTTGTTAAATTTTTAAGTTAATAGGTAGAGAATTGATGTTTTTATCAGGTGTGACGGTAATACCTTCAAAGAAACGTTTCACGTCCTCTAGTACTCGCGCATAGTTTCATTGATTTTACGTAAGGCTCCCCTAAATCAAGGCTCTAACTTGTGCCACGATGGCATAGGGGATCGAGCATTCGCCTTCCAATGAGGTGAACCGGGTTCGAATCCCAAGCGATGGCTGGTCGATACGAATTCCGCATCCGGCTTGCACCGACCACAGTGCTGACGTGAAATATCCTCAGTGGTAGATGGAGCATGGGTTCGAGTCCCCTTGACGTTAGGCTAACCGTAGGAGGTTCTCTCTGTTATTCTTCTCCATATATCGCGAATGCGGGCTAGTTCCATCAAAAAAGTCATCCAGGAAGTCGAAATTTCTCACAATACTTGATCCAGGAGGGAGTTCCCTTGTCTTCTGGATTGGGTTCAGAATTGCGAGGCTACGGAGTTGAACATTAGTATTCGTAAACCCAAAAATTGGGTCGGATATTCAATGATGTTTATAAAAATAAAGGCTCTAACTTTACGGAGTTGATTTTAGAGATAGATTACCTGTTACCAGATATAGATCTTACCAATTATAGTGAAATTTTACAAAATAAAATAACTTAATAAAGAGTGATCAAACCTAAGTCTTTTCTATTTCAGGGGCTCTAATAAAAATAGCTTCCTATTCCAATTGTTTTAAGTCTCGTCAATGAATGAAATTTTTCTCATTAATATTGATGTTTAACAAACAAAATAAATAAATAAAATAAAGATGATTGAGAAACACGGGAGTTGGTAAGTAGTGCCGGAGCCTTCTAGTCTACATTAAAAATCTATCCCAGTAAAGCTACATATGTAAAACAATATGAACTTTACTTACCTTTACCTTTCTTATTACCTTTAATTACCTTTCTTATTACCTTTAAAATGTTATTATCAACTTTGGCACCATACAAATTCGTTCACTTTTCTTATGAATTTGATAATCATTATTGCATTTTAAAGTTTAATGATATTATAGTATTAAAAAACATTACCTAAATTGATTTTCTTTTGACAATACTTTTAAATTCATTTAAACTAATTCTGAAATATCTCGATATATGAAAAAATGTACTTAATCAATTTTCAAAAGTAACGGCTGAGTTGATGAAAGTATCGCATTTTGTTCTGCTCCAAAAGAAATGAAGCAACTAATAAAGCTGTTACTCACATCAGGTATGTCGTTTATTTCCCCATGCCAAGGTTTGCCAGGTGACCAACCAGGACCTTTAAACAGTACGGATAGTTTATTCCTTATTCCTTTATAACTCCAGAAAGCTTTCCACATGTAAACACAATGGTCGAACTGCAACAAATGATACACAGTTCATAGCAATCGTTAAATAATGGATGCCCAATAGCTGTTTAAATAAAACAGTAGAGTCCTTAATATATGAAGATTATTTCAATAGTGTACTAAATCTAATTATTAAAAAAGGAAGTTAGCATCACATGAAGGTGATGCTAAGTCCATTTCCTAGTGATTTCTATTTTATTTTAAAATCTGTACACTTTCAGCTTATATTTGCTTAAGTGTAAAGGGACCAAGAAGCAGACAAGATTGGAAAAACAATGTTACGCTTTTCAACTCTGCGTCTCCAAATAAAGTAAAGAGTATTTATCTCATTATTCAAATAACACCTTCATATGCAGTTACAGCCTGTACTAAAAATTAAACGAAAAAATGCCTACTTGCATACGTGACCACAAATTAATATTTAAGTGAGGAGATTAAAATTATCGACTTCAGCATTATTGGAGTGATTTATAGAGAAAAAGGTATTGAAAGTATTATTATACATTCTGGAAAAAAACTGTAATGGAATTTTAAAATTAATTCAAAGTTTCATGAGATTTGATGCACACTTCATTATGACTGATATGTGTAATGATTCTCTATATTTTGAAAACGTTTTAACTTTATGCCTGTTTTAATGAAATATGACAAATTTGACTCAAACTTCATGACAAATTTGCTCCATATTTGTAAAGGATTCTACAAACAACGATTCATAGTATTTTGAATATTCATTGAAGATAAATTTAATCATCTGACCAAGTTTAGAAACATAACATTTTAAAATTTCATAACAATAATTTTTAGAGACACTTAAAAATCAGCTTCTTCATAGGGTTTTTTCAGGGACGTTATGACCATCAAAGCTTTAAAACTCAGTTTTCGTCATGAAATGAGGAAAAAAAATCAGTATAATATTGTAGTTACAGAGTTTTCATAAAATGTTTCAATATCAACAGTAATATTGCTGTTATCAACTTTAATGAAATAAGGGTTGATGAAATCAAAAAGTAAAATTTCAATCTAATGACTTTCCAATCTAACTCTCTAATATCCACTAGACTTGTAATCACAGTTTAGAGTATTAATTCACGACCAGTCAAAAATAATTTGCCAATATATAATTTGGCAAGTATAAACAATTTAAGATGGCTTTTGTAAATTGGAATGTTGGCTATTAAAAACAAGCATTTCACATAACTTTATAAAAAAGTTAATACTAGCATTTTTTAAAAAAAATGTTTAAGTGTATAGAGTATAGAGTTAATCTAGTTATTAACGGTGGCATAACAGGGTTTCATTAAAAATTTAAATAGATTTTGAAATAGTTTAAGAATAGTTTTAGAGAAGAAATATTTTAAATTCGTAAACAAATTCACTTAGGTAATATAACAAACAAATAAATATCTAAATATATTTGAAAAAAAATTCCTTCAAGCAAACATCTCTTAAATAATTTATTGCAAAACGAATTTTTGTTTATTAGCTTGTCTTATATTGACTATCTAATATTAGCTTGCATCATAAAATCATACCTGAATTTGAAATAGGCCAAAAGAATTAATTGGATGTGTCAAACCATACAATATTTCTTCTTTTTCTGCTTCAAAAGTGCCAAAAAGCCTATCCCAAATAATAAGAGTTCCTCCATAATTTTTATCAATGCAGTTTCTGTTTCTACCTAGAGAAAAATTAAAAATTTTTTTTATCTGTTTAAGAAACGACAACTTGCTTGAAAAGTAAATATACCGAAAAATATCTCTAAATATTTAAAAAATTTAGGAACGTATTGAACCATAATATCGTTGTTTAGATTTGTTTTAGCTTTAATAAAGTACTGATAGTTAATCATTCTATTATGCTTGTTTAAATAAATAAACATAATACTATTCTCTTCAAGTAGAAGGGAAACATGAAACAGTTTAATTATTTTTTAAAGTTATAAGAAATGTTTACTGGATTATGGTTCAATGTATAGATTAATCGATTTTTTCTGGGATTGTGTATTAAACAACATTATCAGTAGATGCATTTTATGTTATCTTATACGTATTTTTTTATCTCCTCATTTTATAGAATCCATAATTTTTTCCATAATAATTCCATTTTACCATAATTTCCTCCATAAATTTTTTCTAGAAAAATTTATTAAAATTAGTAGGATAGTTCTCGCTTTGATTAGCCAAATCTGAAAGTTTTCTTAACTTTTAACAACAGTGCATATATAGAGAAGTATAAAAATAATTTTTCATGGTTTTAATTTGTCATAAAGAGATAATACATCAGAGGAAAATCACTTTTGCTAAGTCTGAATTAAAAAACACAAAATCAACCGTAAATAAAAAGTAAGTTTTGAACAATCGGTTTCTTACGCTTCTAAATGGAAATACACATCTTATTAATCTTCACTGAATACCGCGAATCTTTTAAATAAACAACTAAAGCAATCATTTAAAAGTGATACATATAAAAGAAGATAGAAATTTCTTCACCATGATGCACTCGATGATGGCTCGGTGTGTTCAGGACATATTCCAAGGGTCCAAGAGATTTTATGAGCTGAAGTTAAGTACAAAATATATATATATTAGTGAATAAATACCTTAAAACAACATATACACGAGAGAAAGAGGGGTACTTGGTATTTGCCAGAATTCTCCTACTTCTGCATTGTATTGATGTCAAGCATGACGTGATAAAAAGACAATTCTCTGATGAAATTCATATAACTACTCATAAGCTTTGAAGCAAAATTAAAAAAATTGCTATTCCAGGCATNCTTTTTTATTTTCTATTTCACTCTCAGGTTTTACAGTTTTATTTTTCACTTTTCGTTGGCAACTTCACATTTTCTGTTTCAAGTGACTTTTGTTTTCTTCATTCACGCCTGGCGAGTTTTTAGAATGGGTGCTTGTTTTTGAGAGCTCAAAACATGCTGACTTGTATTAGCAGCTTCATTTTTTTAAGCCAATGAAGTTTTTGCCATTAAGAAGATGATCATTATCTTGATCAGAATTTTATGCTCACGAAAGCAAACATCTGTATATTATTCTTTTAACAGGATTCATGCGCTCCTTAAAGCATTAAGAAAACCTTGGCCTCTATATTGAAATTATGAAGCTATGTTTAACTTTAAAATTACAATTTTAACATTTTAGATTTTGTAACCAGATATTTGGAGTTATTGAAATAGATTATTGAATGTTGCGATGATTATAAACTTAATAAAATACATTTAAATTCTTAGTTTTGCTGCCACCAGTACAGTTTTCTAAGCACCTGGCAGGCTTTGTTTAGAAGGTATTTGACATATGTAGTAATGGTAAGAACCATAAAGTAAATTTGTAGTAAAAGAAATTAGAATTAGCATTAATAACTATATTAGTAGTGACATTTTGTGATAAATTTAGCTGATCGTAATTGAGGAAAATGGTGAGCGAATTTACGAAAATCCGTTTCAGAATGTATAGAAACAGCCAGACGCTATTTGCAAGTTATCTTTGTCCAAAGAAAACCACGTAACTCACTTATTTAACAGAATGAACTAGTTCTTTAAAACATGAATCATACAATATATTTAAACACACATAGTTCATTCATTAAACATGCATATTCATTATTTTTTATTGTTTCAACTTGGTAACTTAGCAAAGGAGAAACACTAAAAATTTCACTCTTGTGAAGCACATAGTTGGTTTATGGTTATCTTAGATTAAACCTCCTGCTATGACACTATTGCTTAGTCTTTTTATTTTGGAAGGACTATATATAGCTTCCTAGCAACCCAAATTTTGATCCAATTTTTTAAAATTTTTGTCTATTTTGAGGGTCAGGAATTGAAATATGTAAAAAAATACTATATTTATTCAGAGAAAGTACTTTTTTGTGTCTGATTTCGTAACTTAATTAATATTTAGTACTAATTAATTAGCATATATGTAGTCACTCCCTGAAACAATTAAAATTGACACTTATTAAAAATCCAAGCATTAGAATGAAAGTTATTCAGGGTGATATCCTTTTTTATTTTGCTCACTGTACACTCTAACTTCTTACTAGACTTCTTTTCTAGGAAAAAAAGAAAGCATTGCTGAAACCATAGTAACGGAGAGAGCAACCTTGAGACAATTATTCCATTTACGAAGACTAAAGTGATATATATCCGAAAGATTTAAGTCTAACATAATATCAAATTTCAGTTTACATTATATTTAGAGCTTTAAATACTCCACTATATTAGATGTAATGGCAGTACTGCAAAGAAAATCTGAAAGAATTTTTAGCATTTTTTTGATCTTACATGATGAAACTCCATTATAGTTAGATGTCCTTGAACAAGTATGAGGAATTGGCATATAACATAGACATTGCACCAGATTGGGAGCTGCACATCATATTTAGGGACAGGAGCTTTCACCTAAAATATGAAGCGTATGTAACATCTGTTATATTTTTATACTGAAAAATTTTATATTTTTTAATTATTTTTTAAATGCATTAAATTAAAAACAGCTTCGTTCAAATTTTTATCACTCAATGATATTGATAGTTTAGGGTTTTACTCTACCATAAAATTTCCAAAACTCTATTTTCTTTTTTTTTTTAAATGCAGATTCTCTTTTTATAGTATGAATATGCACATTTAAAAATACTTTCATATGAGTAATTATTGAAGGTTAAGAAGTATATAGCTTATTTTACATCTACTCTCATATAGAGTATTAAGCGTTCATTAATTTTAAATCGTGTTTTACCTATTTGTAAATAAATAATTATAATGTCACATTTGATTTAGTTAAAAATTCAACCATAACTTTTAAGGTGGTCTTTCTTTGAAAAATATGACCTCATTAAAAAAACACTATTATTTTTACAAAAAAACCCCAATGTTAAACATAAGCCTTTTTAATAATACATAATTTGTTAAATTTTTAAGTTAATAGGGAAAGAATTGAAGTTTTTATCAGGTGTGACGGTAATACCTTCAAAGAAAGGTTTCACGTCCTCTAGTACTCGCGCAAAGTTTCATTGATTTTACGTAAGGCTCCCCTAAATCAAGGCTCTAACTTGAGCCGCAATGGCATAGGGGATCGATCATTCGCCTTCCAATGAGGTGAACCGGGTTCGAATCCCAAGCGATGGCTGGTCGATACGAATTCCGCACCCGGCTTGCACAGACCACAGTGCTGACGTGAAATATCCTCAGTGGTAGACGGAGCATGGGTTCGAGTCCCCTTGCCGTCAGGCTAACCGTAGGAGGTTCTCTCTGAATTCTTCCCCATATATCGCAAATGCGGGCTAGTTCCACCAAAAAAGTAATCCAGGAAGTCGAAATTTCTCTCAATACTTGATCCACGAGGAAGTTCCCTTGTCTTGTGGATTGGGTTGAAAATTATAAGGCTACGGAGTTGAACATTAGTATTCGTACACCCAAAAATTGGGTCGGATATTCAATGATGTTTATAAAAATAAAAGCTCTAACTTTTCGGAGTTGATTTTAGAGAGAGATTTATATATGCCAGATATAGATCTTAACACATTGCTGACCGCTCACGAGTTAACTCGTGTTGTCATGGCCAAGAGTTGGTGACCAGTCACGAGTCATAGCAATCATATTAGAAGTGGTGACTATTTTAAAAAGTGGGCGTAATTTTCCTTACTTTTCAAGTTTTACTATTTAATTCTCTACCAATTTATTATAACTTTACGAAACCACATATATTTGCAAATCTTTACACGTAGGTGAATGTTATACTTTTTATCACACGAAAAAGAAATATTAAGAGTTGAATGATAAATAAAAATTTTTAAAGTTTATTTATATTGTTTTACTTCCACATCCGTTCCACAGAAAAGTTGCCGGTCAGCAATGTGTTAACAATTACAGTGAAATTTTACAAAATAAAATAGCTTAATAAAGAGTGATAAAACCTAAGGTTTTTCTATTTCAGAGGTTCTAATAAAAATCGATTCCTACTCCAATAGTTATAAGTCTCGTCAATGAGTAAAATTTCTTCGAATTCATTTTTAGCTATTGAGTCCAGCTATTAGATTAGCTATTGATTAGCAATCTGTATTCTTTAGGTTAATTTTTATGATTATTTTTCAAAACTGGGTAATCGTCTATTTTGGTATGATTATGCAAGTAACAATCAACAAAATGTTCTTACATAAAACCACAATAATTACATAAGACAAAATTATCTATGTTTTTGTGAAAAAGTATTAATGTTTAATAAACAAAATAAATAAAATGAAGCTGAGTGATAAACAATTACGGGAGTTGGTGAGTCGTGCCGGAGCCTTTTAGTCTACATTAAATATCTATCCCAGTAAAGCCACACATGTATGAACTTTACTTACATCATGTTCTTATTATCTTTAAAATGTTATTATTAACTTTGGCCCGAAACAAAACGTTCATTTTTCTTATTAATTTGATAATCATTATTGCATTTTAAAGTTTAATGATATTATAGTATTAAAAACATTACCTAAATTGATTTTCTTTTGCCAATATTTTAAAATTCATTTAAGAAAACTAATTCTGAAATATCTCGATATGTGAAAAAAAAATGTACTTAATAATCAATTTTCAAAAGTAACGGCTGAGTTGATGAAGGTATCATACTTTGTTCCGGTCCAAGTGAAATATAGTGACTAATAAAACTGTTACTCACATCAGGTATGTCGTTTATTTCCCCATGCCAAGGTTTGCCAGGTGACCAACCAGGACCTTTAAACAGTACGGAGAGTTTATTCCGTATTCCTTTATAATTCCAGAAAGCTTTCCACATGTAAACACAATGGTCAAACTGTAACAAATGATACACAGCTTATAGCAATTGTTAAATAATGGGTGCAGTATAGATGTTTAAATAAAAAATTAGAGTTCGTAATATACGAATATATAAAGATTATTTGAATAGTGTACTAAATCCAATTATTAATAAAAGGAATTAACATCACCTTTATGTGATGCTAACTCCATTTCCTTAAAGTTTTCATTTTATTTTAAAATCAGTACACTTTCAGCTTATATTTGCTGAAATGTAAAGGAACCAAGAACCGGCCAAGATGGGAATGACAATGTTATGCTTTTCAACTCAGCGTCTCAAAATAAGGTAAAGCGCAGTTATCTCACTAATATTCAAATAACACATTTATATACAGTTAAACGAAAAAATGCCTACTTGCATAAGTGATCACAAATTAATATTTAAGTGAGGAGATTAAAATTATCGACTTCAGCATTATTGGTGTGATTTATAGAGAAAAAGGTACTGAAAGTATTATTATACATTCTCGAAAAAAACTGTATTGGAATTTTAAAATTAATTCTAAGTTTCATGAGATTTGATGCGTTGATACTCACTTCATTATGATTGATATGTGTAGTGATTCTCCATATTTTGATAACGTTTTAACTTTAGGTCTGATTTCATTCAATGTTAGTCTTCATGACAAATTTGATCCATATTTGTAAAGAATTCTAAAAACAGTGATTCATAGCATTTTGAATATTCATTGAAGATAAATTTAATCGTCTGACCAGGTCTAGAAATATGAAATTTGAAAATTTCGTAACAATAATTTTTAGAGAGACACTTTAAAATCAGCTTCTTCATGGGATTTTTTCAGGAACGTTATGATCATCATAGTTTTGAAATTCAGTTTTCGTCATGGAATGAGGAAAGAAAAATCAGTATAATATTGTAGTTACAGAGCGTTTATAGAATGTTTCAATATCTAAAGTAATCAGTAATATCAATGTTATCGACATTAATGAAATGAGGGTTGATGAAATCAAAAAGTAACGATGAATTTCAATCTAATGACTTTCCAATCTAATCCACTAGACTTGAATCCACTAGACTTATATCCACTAGACTTGTAGTCACAGTTTAGAGCATTAATTCACAACCAGTCAAAAATAATTTGGCAATTTGAAAAAGAAATATAAGCAAGTACAAACAATTTAAGATGGCTTTTCCAAATTGGAATGTTGGCTATTAAAAACAAACATTCCACATAACTTAATAAAAAAGTTAATACTAGTATTTTTTTTAAAAAAATACTTAAGTGTATATAGTATAGAGTTAATTTTAGAATTATTATTAACGGTGGCATAACAAGGTTTCATTGAAAATTTAAATAGATACAATTTAAAATAGTTTTGGAGAGGAAATATATTTAAAATTCGTAAACAAAGTCACTTAGGTAATATAACAAACAAATAAATATCTAAATATATTTAAAAAAAAATTCCTTCAAGCAAACATCTCTTAAATAATTTATTGCAAAATGAATTTTTGTTTATTAGTTTGTCTTATATTGACTATCTAATATTAGCTCGCATCATAAAATCATACCTGAATTTGAAATAGGCCAAAAGAATTAATTGGATGTGTCAAACCATACAATATTTCTTCTTTTTCTGCTTCAAAAGTGCCAAAAAGCCTATCCCAAATAATAAGAGTTGCTCCATAATTTTTATCAATGCAGTTTCTGTTTCTACCTAGAGAAAAATTAAATTTTTTTTAAGTGTTTAAGAAACGACAACTTGTTTGAAAAGTAAATATGCTGTCAAATATCTCTAAATATTTTCAGAATTTAGGAAAGTATTGAATCATAATATCGTTGTTTAGATTTGTTTTAGCTTTAATAAAGTATTAAGTTAATCATACTATTATGCTTGCTTAAATTAATAAGCATAATACAATTATCTTCAAGTAGAAGGGAAACATGAAACAGTTTAATTTTTTTTTAAATTGGTAAGAAATTTTCACTGGATTATGGTTCATTGTATCGATTAATCGATTTTTCTGGGATTGTATATTAAACAACATTATCAGTAGAAGCATTTTATGTTATCTTATACGTATTTTTTTATCTCCTCATTTTCCAGAATCCATAATTGTTTCCATAATAATTCCATTTTACCATAATTTCCTCCATAAATTTTTTCTAGAAAAATTTATTAAAATTAGTAGGATAGTTCTCGCTTTGATTAGCCAAATCTGAAAGTTTTCTTAACTTTTAACAACAGTGCATATATAGAGAAGTATAAAAATAATTTTTCATGGTTTTAATTTGTCATAAAGAGATAATACATCAGAGGAAAATCACTTTTGCTAAGTCTGAATTAAAAAACACAAAATCAACCGTAAATAAAAAGTAAGTTTTGAACAATCGGTTTCTTACGCTTCTAAATGGAAATACACATCTTATTAATCTTAACTGAATACCGAGAATCTTTTAAATAAACAACTAAAGAAATCATTTAAGAGTATAAAAAAAGATAGAAATTTCTTTACCATGATGCACTCGATGATGGCTCGGTGTGTTCAGGACATATTCCAAGGGTCCAAGAGATTTTATGAGCTGAAGTTAAGTACAAAATATATATATTAGTGAATAAATACCTTAAAACAACATACACTCGAGAGAAAGAGGGGGGCTTGGTATTTGCCAGAATTCTCCTGCTTCTGCATTGTATTGATGTCAAGCATGACGTGATTCATACACTACTCATAAGCTTTGAAGCAAAATTAAAAAATTGCTATTCCAGGCATGTTTAAAACTAAGATATCAATGATACAAATTATGATACAAATTAATTGATAGTTGAAAAGAATACTTGGCAACATATATAAGACACAATAAAAGCTAGAAAAATAAGCATGCTATAGTTTCTGTTTTGTAATCAAGAACGGTACGGAAATATAGAATACGAGGAGGAAAACAAGGAGGTTTGAGGGTGTTAATAGATCAGCAATGACCAACATATATACACCGCAAGTCAAAATTTTTGTTAGTTTTCCATTGATGGACAAACATAATAATTCTATAGGCAAATTTAATGGGCAAACATAATAAATCTGGATTGGGTTCAAAATTACAAGGATACAAAGTTGAACATTAGTAGTGTAAACCTGAAAAATTGGCCCGACTGTTTGACGACGTTTATAAAATAAAATAAAACATAAATCAGTTGAGTCGTAGTGATTCAGGGGATAGAACACTCGCCTCCCAATGAAGTGAACAAGGTTCGAATCCCAGCGATGGGTGGTTGATACGAATGCTACACCCGGCCCGCACCGACCACAGTGCTGACGTAAAATATTCTCAATGGTAGACGGATACTCAAAATTGGGTCGTCTGTTCAACGTATCTTATAAAATAAAATAATAAATCAAAATAAAATAATAAATAATAAGTTAAAAATAATAGTGCTTTCTCTCCCAATGCTGCTCTATATAAGGAAAAACAAATAGCTTACTTCTGTATGTATCCAGAATTGATAAAGGCGGCTGAATTGAGAATGAGCATAGTACATAGGTAATGGAACAAATAATGCTATCGGTAGAAACATAACCTAAAATGCAATAATAAATTGATACAAATAATAATAATAATTGTTTTGAATAATTGATTAACTTAAAATCTATCAGTATTTCGTTCGTATAACCTTATTTTCATTAAAGCCATGCCCTTAGCCTTAAAGATATTTTTTCAGAAGCTGAGTAAAAATTAACTTTAAGGACGTATGTCTGAACTCCAAACTTTTCCAAACCCTATTATGTACGCATTAAAAATCATTAGTTTAAGTTAGTGCTTTTCAAGCTTAATAGTAAAGTGTTAAAGTACTTATGGGCAAAAAAAAACATGCCAGTGACAAGAACATTATTTAAATTATAGATATTATCAGTTATTTTAGTGCCTCCTCTCATCTTGCATTCTAACAAATTACTAAGGTTCACACCAGCAATGAAAATCTAAGGGTCCATTCGGACCACTTGGGTATTCATTATGTGGTTCAAAAAACTTATTATGGTAGACAAGCTTGAAAAAAAATCAAACTTTACAATTACATAATTCATGTTATGGTACATATCAAAAGTTATTAATTGCAATATATAACACTAAAGAACTAATTAGGTTCATCAGCCCCTAAAGATTGAAGATTGGTATTTATTAAAATTAAGTGCAAAAAAGCTAAAATAGTAAGTAGATAGTATAGAGACTAAAATGCTGAGACCAAATTAATAAATAAATGATAAAAATAGAGAATGTAAGAACTGACAAAATATTTCATTCAAAATTAATTATCTTAAAACTGTAAAATTAATTATCTAAAAAAATTACAAATTATAAATCAATTACAAATATCAGTACATGAATCCATAGCACAGCACAACTTGTAAATTTGAAATTTCATTGTTTAAATTAAAAAAATATTGTATTGTCACTCTCTGTTATTCGATTTGAATACCACGGATTTGAATTCTATACCACGCGTAGAACAATAAAATTAGTACAATAAATTTTTTAAATGCATGGAATTTGATGCAAAAAGAAAACTATTTTTCGTAACTATTTTGTAAATTCCAAACATATTTAAAAGCGACAAATTTGTCGAACATTAATTCCGAGGGGAACAATAATATTATAACATATTTCGGTGAGCAATGCCTAAATTGTTGATTTTGTGTGACCAAATTCCTGATGATTTGACGTAATCAATTGGTGAATGACGCCTAAATTATTGATGTTGAGTGAACCATCATCAGCATCAATACAATCAATTGTATGAATGTTTATGATATTTGAAAAAAGTAGGAAACTATTTTAGAGATAAACGTAATTTACCATGCACGCACAATGGAAAGTTATTTGTTAATTCTGTTGACTTTTTGCGCACTTCAATCTATTCAAGGAAATCAGAAATGATGAGTAAACAAAAGTTTGAAATAATATCATCAAATTTATTATATCCATGGAAAAGATTTTAATGAAAATCACTTTGATAAAACCAAAAAATAATGTCATTCTTTCTATTAATATTTTTCATTGGCATCATAACAACTGTTGTTATTGACGGTTGAATCTTTAATTTCCTTGTATATCTGAATGGAACATTGTGAAAATGAATTGAAAAGAAAAATATTGCGAATTATCTTTTACGTTTTATTTGTTTGCCATTAATGAATGGAAATCATTATAAAACTTGTTTGTTGAAATATTACATAAATGACTTATTATGTGATTGAAGGAATGCTTAGAATCAGCTAATACCTTGAATTAAAACATGCAATTTAAGAAATTCTAAGAAAAAGAATCACAGAGGCCGACACCGCAGCTATCGTTTTAGTTATTCAAGTTAACGTTACATTTTGTTTTGCACCGCAAAAACTGGGACTTAGAAACTTGAAATTGCAGAAAATATACAAGAAAATGTATAGAAAACGCAGATTGTAGAAACATGTACAAGAAGTTCAATAGAATTTTTAAAAAAATTAATTATTAGTTTGAGAATTATTAACTGTTAAGCTTGAGTTAGAAAATATCATACGGGCCGCTCTATAGACCACAAGAGTACAAAAGAGTTGAAATTCGACGTGCGGAAAATGATAGATTTGTTTATAAATTAAAGACAAGCATTTTTTCTAAAAAATCAAATTTGTTTGAAAATTATTGCTATTTTAAGTAAATTTTTTCGTTAATTTTTTCTCACTTTCTTTCCTGCAAGGAAAAAAAATAATAAATAAATAAAAAAATAAAATTTAAAATTTGAAATTATGATGAGTTGTAGAAAAATTACAAAAATTACGAAATAAAACAGCTTCGCACTCAATTAATTCGAAAATTATTAACCGCTAATTTTGCAGGTAAAAAAACATGTTTGGTCGATTTGCAGCCCACTAAAATGCAACTACGGAACTAATTGTTGGAGTGTTAAAGGAGTTATCATTATTTGTGAACTTACTTGAGTTTTGTTTCTTTAGTAATTCCAACTTGTTCGAAATTTATTGCAAATTTAAGTGCTTTTTCGTTATTTTTTTCAAGGTTTTGCTTTAAATATTGACTAATTATCCATTGTCGTGGAAATTATTTTTTTCTCCAGATATTTATTACTTTGTTTTATAAGCTCGTGCTCTAGTAGATGTCCATCACCGGTCAAGAGAGTATTTTAACATTGATGTTGAAATTTTTTAAACAAATTAAAAACGTAATGAAGGGTGATGAAAACCATTCCCTGTTCGAATTGGCGTAAATCTCATCGACTGGTAAAATTTTTTCTCATTTATTTCTTCGTATTGAGTCACACAAACTGTATTTTTTAAGTTAAATTTTTCTTTCCACGTACAGATGATTATTTTTCAAATCTAAGTGATCGTCTATTTCGTTTCAATTAAAATATTAATAAAATGTTCTTACATCAAAATATAATAATTAAATATATTGAATACAAAATGTTCCGTGTTTAATTACGGGAGCTGAAGAATAATATTACTTTTAATATAATCTTATTAATAAAGTTATTATCTAAAGATAAAATTATTTACATTTCTTAAATATTGCTAAATTATTATATCAAAACTAGCATCAGCAGCTAGGCCAAGTTACCAGCTCTTACGATTTTAATGTAGAAATTTCTTTATGGTAAAAAAATATATGCCTGAATACTCGAATCTTAGTTCAATAATTATGCTGAGAACGTTGGTAATTATTTCTTTTATTTTTAAGTACGAGTAGTACTTTAGATGGAAAAAATTTCGCCAATAATGTTAAGTACTCCAATAGTTTTTACACTATTGAAATATTCTTTCGTCAACAACGTGAAACCTGGCAGCTTCGATGGATAATGGTGCTCTGGTTCATGCTTATTTTTATTTTTTCATTGATAAAGGTAGATTTTTTTAGCACATTAGATTATTTAAATGACAGTTTTCAAAATTTTATAAATTTTTTTTTTAAAAAATGCATTGATTTATCAGGCCAGTGTTCTCCTTTCTGAAAACTCCAGGTGGAACCATTGAATAATTAATGATTCTAATAAACAATCCACTTTCATCAAAGAATTCAAAATACTTAAGTAAAGCTAAATATTATTCATTGTCTACTTACCCAAAGATATAAGTACTGCAATATAGATTGCCTTACATTTGTCGAGATGTTATAGTCTTCGGAACTATGGTGAACATGGTGAGTTGCCCATAAAATATTTATTTCTGAAATAAACTTGTAATATATAACTGATTAATGATTAATAATTATTATAAAAAGTTGTAGAAACCTGCTTTTGCNCTAAAAATATGTCACAATTTTCATGGGAGGTTTATGCATATAAAGTTATAAGTAAAATAGTAAACACTTGAAAAAATTATAACTGGTTTGAAATTTCAAAAAGGTGGGGGATAATGTTTGTGTTACAGTGAAATGACAGAAATGGGTGGTTGTTGACTTCCACCGGTGAATGTTGACAATCACAGAGTAATTGTCAACATTCAAGAATGATGGAATACATACTAGGTCTAGTTAAGTGCCACTGCCCTATATACATTTGCACGGTATGCCCTACATCCATCAGTGTTTTTTAAGATCAAGTGCCACTTCCCGGTATGCATTTAAACGGTACTCCGAACACTGATGTTTCTCCTCATCTATCCTCAGCAGATATTAAAGTACCGATTAAATATAATAATATCAACGAATAAATTAATATAAAATCGGATATAACAAATATTTCGACCATTCACCAAAGCGTCTATGTGAATGTTGAAATACGCCGATGAAAGTCGACATTCTCTTGATTTCGGTCATTAACGGTAACACATATATAGAAAGAACAAATTATGCTGATATTCGTACTCGTAGAAAAGAAATTTCTAATAAACTTCTTAAAACCTTTTCAAAATCAGCAATGCCTGTTAATAAAATACTGTCTTGAATACTGATTGATGTCTGAGATTACATCATATCATATCTCGCCTAGTCTAGTGTGACTTTTTTTATGAGTTTGGCTTTCTTTTCCCAAAAACTGTACGTTTTTGTATGTATCTGTCCAGATTTGTATTTAATAAAATCTTAAAATTCTGGTTATCGTTGCGTAATAATTTTCCTTATTTTTAAGGACTGCGAAAATCCTACAATTTCGTTATTCAAGAATTAATAAATTTATTTTTTATTCTTAAACTAAATCGGTAATTTGTTGTGATTAATGGGGTGATTAATTTTCTTCTATATTTTCGGACGAATGTAATAAATATGATGCTAATGAAGTCGATTAAAACGATAACTGTAATGAAGTGTGAAATACTACTTACATTGCGGCGGATTATTGAACTGAATGTGTTAAAAGAACGTAAGTAAAAAAAAATATGTTAAATTATATTCACTGAACACGGGAGTTTAAAAATCACGGGACTAATGCCTTGTACATTCTTAATGTTATTAAGAAAACTACATACACGCATTTTAATCTGAAATCAAGGCAAATCTTAACTAATCATTTGAATTTTTAGTATTTGTGAATAGAATGTTAATTGAATTTCTTTTTAAATGAACCCTTATTCGCGCATGAATTTGCTCTGAAAATATTGCAAAAAGTTGTATTGAAATTCTGTTCGCGAACATTGCTTTCAAGGACTTTTCAGAATGTACACTGTAAAAAATTTCGGATGAAATTACGGAATAGGTAGCGGCACAATGGATGCATCATCAGTAAAATCCATTTTACCGTAAAATTCCCTTTTACAGTAAAATATTATATCCCTAATTTTTATTTAATTAGAGCGATACAGTGATTTCACTGTAATTAATACTGTAAAAATTGCGGTACATCAGAGTTTTTACTCAATAACATGTTCCGGCGAAAACGGATTTTAAGGTAAAAGTATGGTACTTTTTACCGTAATTTGATCGATTATGATTATTTTACTGTGTATTTTGAGTGTGGGATACTTTTTAAATTTTCCTTATTTCTACTCCAAGTTATGAAGTAAGAAAAATTTCATATTTGTAACAGAAGGTAGCATTCATCCTGTATTTGAATAAAAATAAATAATTTTTTTTACCGTGAACTGCACGATGTCCCCAGTAGTAAAAAAAATCAAATGCCAAAAAACAAAACCACCATGTCCATAAAGAATTCCAGGGCAGGTCTACAAGTCTCCAGTTCTGATAGACGTACAAATAAGTAACCAGTTGTCCTCCTGGAGCGAAAAATCTGCAAATGAATCATTTTTAAAATAAGTATTTTCTAAAATCTATTAAAATTTCTTTAAAAATAATGCATTCTACATTTTCAGAATTTTTTAAAAGTTTTTATCTTCATATTCATAAAAATCTAATGATGGTATCGCAGTTGGAGGTACATTTTTATTGGTTGGAAAATCACATGGTAGGATCAAGTTTCCCCACATTTCCATACTTTTTGGTTGTCATCAGCATAAAATTAATAAAAATCATAAAAGAATTGCCTACTTGCACTTCAAGAAGAAGAAGATCACATATACCCACACATGAGACCTATGATGTCAGCTGATCATTTGTAAGCAAAAGGGCGTGTTAAAGTTGAACTAAGTATCTCTACGTAAGTTAGAATGTTAGTTAAAGTAAAGTTAATTAAATACATTGCCGTTTCACTCATCGATGTTGTTGAAATATAATTCTTTCTTGTCTACGTCTTTTGCTTAGCTTAGATTTATTATTTGTTTATGTATTTTATTGTAGTGTCGAACATTGATGAACTAAAAGCCAGAATTACAGCCTCTGTGGATGCCAGCATGCTTGTCGCTACCTGGCGTGAAATTGACTATCGACTTGATATTCTCCGTGCGACGAAGGGGGCACACGTGGAAGTTCATTAACAAGGGTCATGAAACTTTTTGAGTCTATCTAACCATTTATGTTATTAATTTTAATCTATCTTTATTATTTTATGAGTTATTAAACATCAAAATGGGTCCGGAACTTTATAAACACCCTGCATATCCTTCAAAACGACTTTTTATGGTGACAGCATGCTCACAACTGTTCATGAGGGAGTAAAAGAGTGGAAAACAATATTAATAAGCACAAGAAACACAGGGGAAAATCATACCATAAAAAGAAAACTTTACAATTCTAGAGTTTCGTTTTTGAGAAGTTTATCTTTTAACTTTTGACGGTCGTTAATCGTTTAACAGTCATTTTTAAAGAATACTAGTGAGGAAGTTTTGATTGGGGAGAAATTTTGGAGAAAAAAATCGTTCTTGCCCCATCCGATTTACAATCACTATATCCTTACCAACTTATCATTCACGTAATTTCATTCTACATCAAAGGATAATATAAAAAAAAAAAATTGAAAACTGCAAAATTTTTAAGTTGGCCAAAAAAGACAAAATAATTTTTTTTTTAAAGATCTAAAACAAAAAACGTTGAAAACATCTTCTCCAAAAAACAGGGGAGGGGGGAATTTAAATTATTTTTAATTTGAATTTTTATTCTTTAAAATTTTAATTTATTAAAATTTATTGTTATTATAATATTTTTTTTCAGTTTTGCATCTGTTAATATCTAAAAATGATCAAATTTTGTTTCGTGAAAATCGTGATATATTTTGGTTTTACCAATTAGAAAACAATTGCTTCTTGTTTTGGCTACAGACACACAGCTTCAGTCAAGTTTCGAACACTTCATCTAATTGGAAAATTAAAAAAACTGATTGATAACAAAATGCCAAAACGAATTCTGCCTGTAAAAGTCAGGAAAAGAGTGACATTCGTTTCGTTTTGCGACAAATTCCGCTAGTAGGGGTTGAAAAAAGTATTACAACTTGTATTATTACTAGGCACAGAGCCCCAGTGAAGATAAAAATTCGAGTTAGACGAAAAATGCTCTGAATTTCGATCAGCAATGAATTCACTTTGGTGAAGATAATATGTCAATAAATTGAGTTATAAGTAAGGTGAAAAAGATTAAATCTTGTAATTTCACCGATCTCATTCAATCTTGCAATCTCATGCAATCATTCGTATTCAAGATTCACATACAATAAAATACTTCACCCAACAACATCCATAAACATTCCTTGAGACAAACAAGTGATGGCATCATTTAATCTTACTTTCGATTTTTTAGTATACATGGATATGCATATTTCTAGAAGAAACATGGCTGTTAGGTTTGGAATAGCCTGAAATGAGAAAGGTGAATACTTAAGAAGTTGTAAATAATTTATAATATTATGTATGCATGAAAATGTAAGATAATTTAAACATTTGCAAATTATATTAAAAAAAACTACAGAAATATTTGTTTAACAAAATATGTGAGAAATTAATATTGGCATTGGAAATAAAAATGCATCCAAAATAATAGGTACATACTAGAACGATAAAGAAAAGTAAGTTTTCGTATCTGAAACTTTGAGGCTTAATAGAAATATATTTACAGTTAATATTATTTTCTATTTCGTGTAAGAAAATTGACTTCATATTTTAATGAATTTTATAATATTAAATATTCCCTTTAATCATTTAAAGATTAATTAAGGTCATAGTAATATTTTTTAAGAAAATATGAACTATTCTTAAGATTTAGAATTTAAATTCCTTTTCCAAAGTATCGTATTTCATCCTTTTCTTAAGTGTTCTATTATTTGATTTTGAAACAATTAGGGAATAATTTATTTTAGAAAGATTGGATTTGAATAACTTATAGTATGTGTGTACATTAACTCTGAATAGTTTTCAAAATTCACAATGGAATAAACATATACTTACATCATCTGCATATCTTGGAACATCTCGTAATTTTTGAAATGATGTTCTGTTTGGGCTTACCAAATAGAATAAATGACCAATCGATTCTATGAAAAACGTTCCATTCATGGTTTAAAATTTCATTTTCTGTAATTTTTCATATAATATTAATACAATATTTACAGTGAAATATATTAATATTTTTGATTCAATAAAAAAAATGTTCTTCGTTCATACACTTTTGCAATGAACTGCACTATAGTTAACCACAGTTTCAAAAAAAACAAACATTCGCCTTCTAAATTACTTACACGTAATGCTCTTTTTTGAATTTACTTTTTTCTGTTTGTTTCTTTGGAGTTTTAATAATAATAAATAATTGCTGTTTGACAATAAGTGATAATTTTTCGCATTATCACTTATAATAATAAGTAATGCTTTAAGAAACAAAATTATTGTTACTTACAACTTCTTTCAATATTTGCTATTATATAAACGATTAGAAAGTATTCTGATTACCTTTTGCTTGGAATGACATTTGAGTAAACGTTTTTCATCAATGTACTCTAAAAGTTTTGAATTGGCTTAAATAGTATCAGAGATATGGTGAAATACGTTATAAGAAAAATCAACATCAAGCATCCCAAAATTTCGACCGCTCTTCCGACGATGTTACTGGAATCATATTTTATGTATTGGGTCCATAACCCATATTTTTATGGCCAATAATCAACATTTGTCAAAAAAGGTACTTGAGCCGCGATGGCTCAGGGGATAGAGCGTTCGCCTTCCAGTGAGGCGAACCGGGTTCGAATCCCAGAAATGGCTGGTGGATACGAATTCCTTGCACCGACCACAGTGCTGACGTGAAATATCCTCAGTGGTAAACGGATCAGGGCTTAGAGTCCCCTTGCCGTCAGACTAACCATGGGAGGTTCTCTCGGTATTCTTCTCCATATATCCATAAAAGAGTCCTCCACTGAAGCAAAATTTCTCTCAATACTTGATCCAGCAGATCCCTTGTCTTCTGGATTAGGTTCAAAACTCAAGTCTATGGAGTTGAACATTAGTAGACGTAAACTATATATATATATAGTGCTTTTATTCAGAGAAAATACAATTTTGTATCTGATTTCGTGGCTTAAAATACTGCCTGCGCAAATTAAGACGTATATTCAAGATTTTTCCTTCGAATCATTAAGATAGCATCTTAGTACGTGACAACCCGATCACTGAATTAAAAGTAGCTGTACTGTTACTTTCCGCATTGCATATAAATTTACTCTAAATATGTATTATGATGAATCTTGCGGAACTTCGCGCCTTTTATAGAATTTCAGAATCTTGGTACAAAATAAAGATAATGCGGATATTTCTTTTGGAAATGTTAGAGATTGCAAAATAAAACTATCTTGTAACATTTCCTTATTAATTTTTTGTTTTCATTGCTGAATAAATTGTTGAGTTCAAACATATCGAAATGATTGTTCTTAATAGATTTAAAACTTCGAAACCTCAAAATTAATTATTAATTTAAATTTTTTCAGCATCAAATTTTTCAATATTTTATGGAAGCCTGATTGCTGTACTAAGATACTCTTGAATACCTATTGGGTTTGTTCAAGCAAAACTTAAAAAATATGGCTTATTCTATATTTTTTTAAACAACTACAAATAATTTTTGAAGTGAGAGTTGTTAGTAGATTTTAAGTTTTAAAACTCTTTACGACGTTTAAATATGCTTTCTTATTTTATAATATTCAAAATTAAGTATGTTTACTACCTAAATTGCAGTAAATAATGTTTTTTAATTTATTTTCAAAGACTGCTCAACTAAGATATAATTTATTTCATAAAATATAAACAAAACTCTTAAGAAATTGATTGTTACAAACAAATTTACAATTGCAAAATTATCTTTAAATAGAAACTATTCTCTTTCAGATGAAATAAACTTTTGGAGACAGCCTTGGCCTACAATAGACTGTAGTGCCGGAGAAGAAGAAGAACTTTGCAGCTCGTATATAAAAATGTTCATTAAAATTACAATAATTTCTGCCTTAATAACGCTTCCATTTCTGATTGGCTGGCTGATGTATTTGAAACGCAAGACTTTCGTCTTGTTAACGAGTTCGTTGGGTCGTGTGATACAATCATTAAATTACTGTACATAGTTAGATTTTATAAAATGACTAAAAAATTATTGCATGAAGTCTCACGGACTTTTCAAGCGCTTTAAGAAATTGCTTTTATCAATAATAGCTTATGTATAGCTTCAAACCATGTAAGCCTCAAGGAAAGACCACCTCTGTATAGCGACCTCCTCAATTTACGACCACTTTTGAAAGGCACGAAACTTTTTCTACAGACTTCGTGTTAAAGAAAATCATTAGGAGAGACGATCTGAGCCTCTCCCAGCTACCGGGCAAAGATCCGCACCAAATGCTGAAAAAACCCGAGAAAGGAAAACCCTGTAAGGAAACCCGAAAAAGTGACAAAGTAAAAAATATTAACGAAACAAATAAGTAGATTCAAATGCTTGTGAGTGGCTCTTATTACACGAAGCTCTTTCTGACGATTGCTGAAAGAGAATGACAGCCTCATGTTACAGTCAGAGTGCACTGAGGACGAGATTATCAATGATTTAGTTTTAGAGTTAGAAATTAAATTAGAAAAATTAGATCATTTTATAAAAAAAGAACTATGCATCTCAAACAAAAGGACCTCTTATTTTTTAAAGTAAGCTTATTTTTGTGATACAAAATTAAACGCAAACTTAAACAGAAAAAATAATTGTTCATTTATTTAAGATATTTCTATCATTTATAATTGGTGAATTTGTTTGTACACATAATTATATTAGTAGGGATCATTTTTATTGACGATAAATTTTATTTTTGGATACGGCTTTCACGGCGTCAACACAAGTGGCATTTCTATACCAAGAAAATAACACTAAGTAAAATTAAAAATGCTTGCGAAAACTCTTGCACCTTTGGTAACATTTTGAAGTCAATGGAAGAAACTCCTGAAAATGACCAATCTCCATTTACGACCATCTCACTGTAGAACAGAGAGTGGTCCTTCAAGAGAGGTTTTACTGTATAATTTCTAAAATTTCTTTGATTGTTACAAAGTATGACAAGAGCAGCGTTCCAAAAAGCATTGTATGCTGACATTCAATTATAATTTAATACATTATTTTCATAAAATAATGACATCTAAAAGTGAATATTTAGCAATGAGCATATTTAGAGAACTAATAACATCCAATAGCATTTTTGTTAAATCATAAATCTAATTAAATACTTACCAATGTGGAAAAAGATGTGTAGCTGAACTCAAGAAACTTTGGTGGATAATGATCCGATTCAAAGTTTGACGGCAGCAAATGAGATGTTTGATCAGCGACAGCGAGTTCGTGAGAATTGATCAGAATTATTAAAACGTACTTTTTTTAATCCCCTCTAAGTTGTCCAATGTTTGGAACAAAGCTTTTCTTCGACATGTATAAGTCTGAAAACTAGTTGACTCTTTGTTATCGTCTGAGATAAAGGAGACCAAAATGTTTAAAATTGTTGCAAGAAATAAAACGCAAGGAATTTGAGTTTCGAAGGTATTATCATATTCAAAAACACTTTTTATTTATATATATTTTTTTTGATAAAGTAAATTTATTTTAAAAAAGCTATTCTATTATACTGAAAAATATTGAGGCTAGCTGAGAAACATTAATAGTTTCAAAACTTAAGATTTGGTTTTTGTGCTAATTCAACGCAATGAGTAAAATTAAACAATTTTAAGTACAATGTGTAAAAAAAATAAGCACAATGGAGAAGTCCAACACTGAATCTTTCAGGTTTGTAAGCCTAACATTTATTGTACCAATTAATTAGTACAGAGGTTATTTTAATGTACAAAATCAGACAGAAAACTGTTTTTTTTTTCTGTATGAACATGCATTTTTTTCCAGCACAATTAGGCTCCTGGTCCTCAAAATATGTAGAGTAGCCCCTACCTTGATAATATGGTCTTTATAAAGCGGTTGCACGTTTTGACCCCTTATTGTTATTTTTATTTTCTCCGCATTTCGCTATATCTCTGAAACTTTTTAAGCCAATCGAAATATTTTTGAACATCATTATAAAGATCACTTTCAGGTAAAAATAGTTTTTAATTATTATTTATTATTTTTGAATACATTATTTAATAGCAGCTAAAAATAATTTAAATTTCAAAGCATACCAATTTTTATATCACTATAAAGAACATAATTTTATATGGCAGAAAGAAAAAATTTGAACGAAATCGGTCCAATAGTTCCTGTGAAAGAAGATTTTTTCAAAAATTTTATAAGTCATAAGTTAAACTAAGTCTTACTTACACAAGTACTAAGTTAAACTAAACAAGCAATATAATTTTTTTTAAAGTCAATTCCTACTTAGGTCAACAAATAAAAAAATAATTAAAAAAAGAAATTTTTTTCCATCAATTTACACGCTTCGTCCCTGACTGTACTTATTCCTACATTTATATCCTGTGGAATATCTTATATAAGAGAAATTTTTAATTAATTAAATTATTAAATTTTTAATTAAATTTAATTAATGAATTAATATTTTAAAAAACTGTATTAAAATCAAGTGTCATCCCCTACAAAATTAAAAAACTGTATTTGAATTTGAGTGGATGAATAAAAAGTATTTTATTAAGGATTGAAAATTTGAACAAGATACGTAAATATTTATAGGGAAAGTTTGAACTAATTGCAGGAATTGAAAAATACATTAACAGGTAACAAACCATACAAGTAACAAACCAGATAATTTTGCATAATTTAGTTTTTTTTACAACCACGCATCAATTTTTTAAGCTAAAGACATTATGGATCAAATATGGTTCACGACTAAATTAATTTTTTCAGAATTTTTAGACCAAAACTACGATTAGGGAGCAGCCATTTTGAAATTTGACTCGCCTTACNTTTCTTCTTGGAAATACTGTTTTGATTTACATTATTCTGCTTACTAGATTCAGCAGACAAAATTTATTTCGACTAATTTTTTCCAACCATGTTTAAACTTAATATAACGCAAAGAATTAAAAAATGAGTTCGATAAAATAAGTGCATAAAAATAGAACAGTAATAATCAAGAAATCTAAGAAATAGTAGGCATCGGTTCTCGTTAAACTGTTCTACCGTAAAGTGCTCGTCTTCACACACACGTTATCGGGTTACCAAAGCAGGGGAGCCATCCCCTCTGCAGAGGATCAAAATTGCGATAGCATGTCCTCGGATCATCTTCAGGGATGTTTCCCAAACCATCGCCAATAGCCCATCTTGTAGCTCTAGTGCTCTGTGAAATAAAGTACCTAATAAACAGTACAAAAAATTAAATCATCACGCACAAGGAAATATTCAAACCAGTATTATCACAAACAAAATGCATAGAATAAAATAATAAGTGTACAAGAATTTAGATTATAAATAAATTGACAAAAAATTTTTTCGTAAAATTAGAAATACTTTTGATTATTAAAACTTTTTGCGTAATGAATCAGTATCTAATTGTCCCAATAATATACGAAAAAAGAGCTTTTAATACTGTTGAAGTCCTTAAACTTCGTCATGATTCCAACTGTATCAATAATATACGGAAAAAAGAGCTTTGTATGCTATTAAAGTCCTTAAACTTCATTGATGACAAAAAAAAAAAGATTACATACATTAATATTTATTTTGATCTGAATTTGAAAAGGGTTATTTGTTTGATATAATCAATCATCCAAAAAATACTCTGTTTTAAACAATAGTAAATAAATTGAGATGCATTAGATGAAATGCAATGGGAGCATTGTAAATGTGCTCTTGCATAGGAAAATGGATCTATTACATGATAAATGTCCATGATAATTGAGCATGATAACTTGATAATTGAGCACATGACATGAAAATTGAGAAATGTCCTCAATTGACAAAGCTTGTTGGAGTTAAATGCGTCATAAGTAACCTTTATAAGTAAAATTTCTCAATACATTCACCCTCATTATTCGTCTATCATATTCATTCTTTTCACGCAATTTGTCAGAACTAATTTATGCCAAAGTCAAGTTTACCACTTTCACTTTAAAACTGAGGTCAGAAACTCAGATTATGTTTCCTAATACATTCATTCTTTTTTTTTTTTCGAAAAAATCTTTCCATAATTTTTTTATTTCATTTTTTTTTGAAGAATTTCAATTTGCTGTTTTACTTTTCTTTCTGTTCTTTTCCACTCAGACTGATATTTTAAAATTTAGAGCCATAAATCTTTCTTGTAACATAAGTTTGATGTTCTAAGTCAAAAATTAAAAACTAAACTAAATTTAGTATCGATGAAAATGTTCTAACTTGGAACAGTTCCCCACGTGATACAAGAGTCGGGGTTCAGTCCTCTGAGTTGAAGTCCCCCATCCCCACTCCTGATCTATGAATACTCTAAAAGAATACTAGCCTGTTTGGGAAGTAAAGGGAGTCGGTACGCAATGCTGCACTGCCACCGGTCTCGCAATTGTGGAGTCTTTAGGTTAGTGCAAGAATGTTGATCCAAATTAAATTAAATTAAATTAAATTAAATTAAATTAAATTAAATTAAATTAAATTAAATTAAATTAAATTAAATTAAATTAAATTAAATTAAAATGAAATGAAATAAAAATAAAATAAAATTAAATTAAATAAAAATAAAAATAAAATAAAATAAAATAAAATAAAATAAAATAAAATAAAATAAAAATAAAAATAAAAATAAAAATAAAATAAAATGAAATAAAATAAAATAAAAATAAAATAAAATTAATGCTTGTTTACAAAATAAAGTGTATAGTTTGACATTTATTTTTATTAGTAAATATGTACGCATTTTCTGAAACTTTTGGTAACATTTGGGTTGTTTAAAATAATTAGTTATAAAGAACCTTTAATTGCGTAACCCTTTAAAATCCGACAAATATTTAATGTGTTTTTTTCTGCAGCCTTAAAATCTGGGTACCTTAAGCTTCACTTTGACTTACGAGAAATACTTTTTTTATAACAATTTTATAGACCTATACTCTGTTTACTTTCGAATTCAAAAGAAAAATTTCTTTACTAATTACCAAAAAAAAAAAAAAAAAAATTCTATTCCTTATTTCCTGATTTTTTGCTTTAAAAGTAATATTTATTTTGCTTAGAACCTTTCATAAAATTGTTAAAAAATTATTTCATCTGGAGGAAAAACAATTTTAAAAAATTGGTTGATGAAGAAAGGTTGCCTCCATACCCAAAGTTACTGAGAAATTTAGGGGGTAAATCTGCTCTAATTACGCGAAAAAAAGTAGAGAGTAATTTTTTTTAACTTTCAAAACAAAAGGTTTGATTCTTTTAAAATGTTTATAATCTTACTTATAAATTGTCCCGCCTCCTTTCGGCTTATAATTTGAATATAATGATATTAGATTATATCTATAAGGTCAGATATCATATATATATATATATATTTCAGGAAATATAGTTAATTAATTGAAACAGTTAAATAAGTTATAGTTGTATTTAACTAAGAACACTTTCCGCTTCATTGAATTTGATAATGTTAGTCGATATGTTTGAAAACTCCTGTCACTTCGTATGACTTATCAAACTTAAAATAGTTTTCTTCATTGTCTGGCTACCCCATTCTACCATTAATGACCTAGTTTAATCACAATTTAAACTGATAATAAATTATCACTTACAAATAATCCCACAAGAAAAAAAAATGGCGTTTTCATTTTTATTAAACAGGCTTCCACCCAATGTCATTTGCATACTTAATTAAATGCAAACGTACCCTAATCACATTACCATACAAACCTCTATTATTAGCGAAATAAAATAATATAAAGGAAAAAAAACTTACAAAACACTTAATTATTATACTCATTATGCTAACTCATTTTATGTTAGAAGGAAAAACACAGAAATCGAGAGTTGCAATGTTACGGATTCATTTCAGAGAAGAATTATGTTGCTTAAATATGCATTCGAACAACCTTTAACATTTCTAACAACCATTTCTGAGATGTAAGGTCTTTTATTATTACTTGAAATGACCTGAATTGTATTGGCAACTGCGGCCTTGATTTACCCTTCTCTCTCTCTCTTTTTTTTCGCTTTCATTTCAGTAAAAAAAAATTACTTTTTAATGAGTATAGAAGAAGATACATTCTATTACATAAATATAGAGTTACTTACATTCTCCGTACAAATCAGTCCAATACCATAATATCACTCCATTGGGGAAATTTGCTGTTAACTTTTTAAGGTTTTAAACTAAACCATTTTCCCGTTTCAAAAAGAAAGAAAAAACATCTATCATATTGTTCATATCATTGGCCAAGTTTGACATCGCAAGAAGATTTTCCCTTTCAAGAGTAACCATAAAGTTT